TTTTTATTATTTTATCATTATTTATTGTTCTTGTTGTCCTTGTATTAATAAAATGATGTCGCGTGTGTGTCTGGCTGCTCGACTTCATGCAGAGCAGCGTTTTGGTTGAGCAACGTGTGTTTGTGTGACAGAAAGTGAAACTCGTTAACTGGAACTCTGAAGCAGCCTAATTGTAAAACGGAGCGTCCTGTTGTCCTGATGCATGCTCATCAACTCCTGTTGTCTTGTTCCATCTCCTTCTTTTACAAACTGTCCTCGTCCGTCTCTGTGGCGTCGTCTTCTTGTCACTCGGTGTCTCACTGTGGATGTCGTGTACCCTCCAGGCCACTCTCCAGTTCTGCGCCGTCAAACCCATCATGGCCGTCATCACCATCATCCTCCAGGCCTTTGGCAAATATCATGACGGAGATTTTAAGTGAGTTCTGTTTTTTTACATTTCACTCTGTGTATTTGACTCGTGCGTGTCGTTCCCAGGGGGTTCGCTTGCTGTTCAGGTGCACGTGGAAACATCAAGTCTCCTTTCACAGGAGACTTAATGAAAATGTTTCAAATAAAGTATAAATTATGGTTTGGACCCTGCAGCTGTGGGTTGTTCTGCTTTTCACAAGTTTAACAGCTTCTTGGCATTTTTGAAACTAACTATAACTATAACTAACTATATCATTATAATGATAAGTGAATTTATTCTTATGTTGGACTGCTGCTTTTCATCTGAATAATAGTCTTTTCCTTTAAAAGTTTGTATTCTTCTATGTTATGCTTGACAAAGAACTGTCCTGTGAGATGAGTGGCTCTACTTCATTTAACAATTTTTAGTTGAACTGGTTTAAATGGTGGGGATAAGTTGCACACTTAGTGTAATTAAACTGCATTTTACAACTTGAGAGAACCGTGCAAGAGTCTCAGGGGAGTAAGGAGAGTTAAAATATCCTGATGCATGCTCACAGTTCAAGTACTTGTCAAATTGTTGTTGGCTTATAATCCAGGTGGTGAAATGTGCCGCTCTAAGAATCTGCTTGAATAGTTTTCTTGTGCTTCTCCAGCTGTGTGTGTCTGAAGAGTGAGCTGTGGCAACACTCGTTTCAAATGGAAGCGTCCTGAACGAGGGCGTCGCGCTGAGCTTTGTGAAACCCTCAAGAACCGTCTCGGTTCTTTCTTTACTTTGAGAACAAAGTGAAAAAGAGCCATCTTCACCTCTTTCTCTGAGCTCTTCAATGAGGCCAAGATGACGTGCACATTGTTTACTTGTACACGTTCAGTGAACCGTGCACTTTACTGCACGGGAGTAATTAGCGTAGTCACAGCTGAGTCTTCAGAGCAGCTCTCTTTAATGGAGAGAACATGGGGCAGAACGGCGCTGCTGGTAAACTGTAGAAATGTGCCTGTTCTTTTTATGAATCATTTTCTTGGTAAGTCCATAAAGTGGGAGGTGCAAACGATGTCATGGTGTTTGCAAATGATGTCATGGTGTTTGCAA